AAAAAACTCTGGCATCAACTGTATACGCATACGCGATGACCAAAAAGTATTCGCTACGGGCGGTTGGGATGGCCGCGTGCGCATTTTTTCGTGGAAAAGTCTGCGTCCACTAGCAGTATTGACTGAACATAAGACTGCGTCGGGTGGTGGCATCATGGACATTGCTTACTCGGAGGATAAGGTGTCAATGTGGAAAGCTCGCATTATGGCTGCCGCAGGAACAGATGGCCAGATTACACTTTGGGATTTATACAACTGATTAGGATACTCTTGTACAGTTGAAACAGATATCAACCATTTTATATTGTGATTGCCCAGCTATTCCTTCAGCCCAAATGAAGAACATAAACAAACATATTATTTTAGTGGCAATAATCCACTGTTTCGAAAATATAAATTTCGCAGATTTTTTCTAAAAAAAAAAAAAAAAAATAGAACTAAAATAGCCATAAACGAAATAAAATATTCCAATTATTTGATATTGGTCCGAAGTTTATATATTTCTTAAAATGCAAATGTAAAAAATAAAACTGGGAAAATTATTTGAATCAGGATTTGCCCATAACAGGGCATAAACAGGGTAAAAATATTTATAAGGATTATTTCAGTCATAAGGAGAACGGATTATATTAAATCAAATCCATCCACATACTTATGTGCATATGTAGATGGCAGTGGCATAAAGCGATTGGAATTTAGCAATTAGTTTTGCTTGCAGATACATAGTTAATCGATAAAGTGGAAAAATATATTTAATAATGAAAATCACTCTGAATCAGAAATGTCGATAACTGGTGCATTTTTAACGCCACGTCTTGAGCGCGCATTTGCCAATGACTCCAATAGAGTAGATCGCTGTAATTCATATGAAACAACGTAGTTTTCTTTCAATACATTAGGAAGAGGTAAACCTGACTTACCGTAGAGTTAACAGATACATCCAAGGCTTGGCGTGTGGTACGTGTTGGAGGAGGTGCAGCACCTCGCCCACGTCCTCTACCGCGCCCGCGTCCAGCGATTGTTTTAGCGCCAGTTTCAGCTTTAGTCGTTTTCTTTCCGCGTGTGGAATTTATTGTCTTAGCAGTCGCAGGTCCCGCATCGTTATCACTATCATCGTTATCGTCTAGGAAAAAGTTGTTTCCTGTTTTGGCTTGCTTTTTGGTAGCTTTTTTTGCGAGCGGCTCAACGTCACTATCATTTTCATCATCGTCTGGGATAACATAGGAACTCGTACCTCTCGCGGACTGTCTACTCTTGCTACTTGTGGAGGATAAAGACGTGTCGCTCACATTAGCTTTCACCTTTGAGCTTAAATTATCTAGGCGATTTATTATATCATCTAGTGAAAGCGTTTTATTAAATGCTTCTAGCGATTCCTCGACTTCATCGTCGGCGGGTAGAGATTCCATTAAGTGTTCTAAAGCGCCATATTTGCAGTGTCTTGGGGAAAAATTTTCATATACTTATGTATAGATGAAATATATATAGAATAGTATTTTAAAAATAATTACTTTATGATGCCCTCAGCTGCGTTTACATCACCCTTTTCGACAAGACGATTGCAAATCTCCGACAATATTTTTGGCGAAAGGACTTTAAGCTGGCGCTTAGCGGGTATTTCTTGGAAATAACGCTCAATAAAGTTCTCAATTTTCATTTCGCTGCTTGAATCCTATGCGCAAAATTAAATTATTTTCTTAATAAAGTTTCAAAATCGAAGTTCAACTTACAATTTGTATTCCATCTAAAGCACCCCTTAAAGCCTCCTTGTCTCCATCGCTGTACTCTCCCTTAACACGTTTTAACACTTTTTTAAAAAGTATCATGTCTGCAGGATTGGCCACCTATAAGCAATGGTTATTTCTTTAAGTTTATTAATTAGGTTTTAATAGCACTTTTACCTGCTCATTGTACGACTGACCAAAGCGAATAGCATTAAACATTTGCTCCTCACTGGAGAATATAATACGTAGACGAATCAACGGCAATTTCGGTTGCTTCGGATGTCCTGTTAACTGTTCCTTGGAGCGGATGATCATATCTTCAACACGCTCTTTTGCCATGGCTATTACCTTGTTTGTTACATCACCTTCATCCAATTTTAGTTCTTCCGCTATTTGCGACAAATCTACCGAATCGAATACAAATGGACGTACAGTTTGTAGTGGCATCGGTTTCATTTGAAAACGTGTTTTATGTATTTCCAACAGGCCCACATGTTTCTTAAGGGCCTCACCCTCAGCCAGCGAAGTCGCGACAGATGATCCTGGTTGGCTAACATAGAAGTTGCGTTTTGCATTAAACTGTGGCTCAATATGGCAATCGTGTTCGTGTCCCCAAATAATTAAGTGCAAGAAATCGGGTAACATTTCCTCGGGTATATTACTTTTCGGACCGCGGTCAGCGTGGTTCTGATGGAGCACCATTAAGTGAAACCATTCACCTTCTTCGGAACTAGGATACTCCATGTTGACTTTAAAGTCCTCGAAAAGTCGACGCAAGCGTGCATCGTGGATATGACTTAAACCATAAAGTGCCAGTTGCGTTTGACCTTTACGTAAAAGTACTGGATTGATATTTACTTTAGTGAGGTCAGTCCAGCGGCCAAAGTAGTTTACCAATCCCGTGGTGGAGAGCAAATCAAGTGAACTAAGACGACCAAAACCGCTGGGGTCATCATGATTGCCATGTATGGAAAATACCGGTATGGCTACATTCAGATTTGGATCCTCGTAGTTGACCGTCTCATTGACTGCATTGTGAAAGTTAACAGCCTGATCACTAAGAAGTTCAATGTTTATTGGTTTATCGCCAAACGTGTAGCGCCGGAGCAGTTTCATACAGCTGAATGGAATAGAAATTGGCGTATAGGTTTCACGTAAAATACTGCACAAACCCACTTGTGTAACGTGTTCTGACTGGGTACGGCATCATGAAATAGATCACCCCCCAGTAAAATGAAATCTACATCTTCCTGCACAGCCAGTTCGAGTAATTCCTCAAAAGCTATGAAACTATCATCACCTAAAATGATGAAATCCGTATATAAAACTACAGAGGTTTTTATTTCAAAATCCAAATGCTTACCGCGCACTGCATTTTTCTCGGCATAGCCCAGATGATTATCCGTAGCCACCATTATGCGCAGCACATCTTCAGTATCTACTTCTTCACTCATTTTACTGGATCTTTGTTTCCTTAATGAAAATTTTGTTAACAAATTAAGAAGAAAACTCCAATTAGCGCAAATTTCCGTCAAAACATGAAATTGCCAAAATTTGCAAAATTTGCGCGTACCAACAGAGTTGCATTTCACTAATGCAAGGCAAGTGATGTGCTGAATTACCGGTACCCAATACTTGAGAAAGATTCTGGTACCCAATACCGATTCCATATATAATTGCCGCTTTTTTACATAATTTTCAACAGAATATCTGTCGAGAAAGCTGCATCGACTTTATTTCGACTAAGAATATGCTTCTACCAAAAGTTGAACCATTTGTACTAAGCAATGTGGAAACCACATGTCAAAGCACTCGCGTCGCCCTCTTGATGTTGTCGCTACAGTAAAATATTATTTTTATCAGTTTCCACCTTCGTAGATCTAAAATTCAAGAAAAATGCCTTGATGGATGAATGAAGTCTTTTAGGCCTACGAGATAACATCGTCCAATTCATCTGGAAAAAAATGGTTCAATTAAGGAGGAGTTTCTCCGCATTGAGGCGATGAAAAATCTATATATTTTTTTCATTTGTATCAGCATTAAAACCGCTGTTAGCCCCTGCACTTGCTTTTGATAGGCTAGGCTCCCCTAAATCGTTTTTATTTTTGGTCTACACGCGTTCTTATTGGAAGCCTTATGTCTGGATTATAATGGAAGTAACGGAACGGAGTGAACTGTCACTTAATTATTTAATATATGGCCAATGAATTCGAACGATTATAATGCACTTGAACGTAACGTAAAACGGAAGCATCTAAAATCAATAGATCCTTACGATTTCGCCGCGATTTGTTACGATTCGCCCGTGCATTATAACCAAGGAATAAACGCTTCGACACGGAGTATCGAGAGGTGGTTATACAAGGCGGTATAGGCAGACCAAAAAGAAAAACTACACAAACAAATGATACGCACATTGGCAATCAGTACAAATCAAAATTACAACAAACTCATCATTTTGACAAACAGTACGAATTCGCCTTGAAATCAGCTGATCCGGTAACAGTACCTTATGTAAATCCGGCTCGGTGGTGTTCAAGGCGAATTTATACAAGGTGGAGTTGTAAAATCAGCTGATTTCTTCGACTTCCATGTATTTTGTTTTTGATTTTACTGATTTGAGAGCACATCCATCAAAAGCAAAAACAAAGCACATTTAAACTTTTGGGGCGAATTGAGATTTGACATAACTTAGGGTTTACACCGGACAATATTGTCAAGACCATTATGTCAAAATAATGTGTTTGTTGTAATATGAATTCGCCGTGTTTACAACAAACACACCATTTTGACAATATTGTCTGGTGTAAACCCTAAGTAATACAACCAATACAAAATACATGTGGTTGTTGTTGTTGTATTCTTGCTACCACTTTATATAAATTCGCCTTGGTCTTTTTAATAACACCGTAGCGTTGCCATATTGTCTTTCGGCATAGTAGAAAAAACTACAAGCGAGCAATCGAATTTTCAGAAAAGTGTGCTCAGAAGAAGCGAAGCAGGAAAAAAGAATTTTAGTTATTATAACTATATTTATATTTATCAGAAGCTTAATAATAAGCCCTTTAATAGGCTTTTTTATGCATAATTTATTTAGACATTAATCAAGTTTTTATTAATCTTTCAATTTTTTTAAACACATTTTATTTACATTTCTACAACTTCTACATTTAAGATTCTTTTAAATACTTTAAATTTATTTATTTTTGTTTTCTTCATCTTTTTCTCATGCTCAAAGAAAAGTATTAAAATAATTATTTTTTTTAATCTGTTGAATAAATTTTTGACCACACTCGCCAATAAATAAATTATGAGGTTATGAACAACAAACGTTTTTTTTATTTTTTAGTTCTAAGGCTAACTTAAAGCGATGCTGTAGTTAAATGTCTAACTTAAAAATTATTTTTGTTTGCATTACATACATATTAAATGTTCTAAAGCACAATATATACTATTATTGGCATAACTGAGTTTTAAACGGCTTTTTGCCTTCTATGGCATATGACACAATTTATTTTCGAGACCTATATATCATGGTGGGATTACACCAGGTGAAGTAGTAAGAGTGAGAAGAAAGATAATGGCATTGCTTTATTTGAAAACTTGAAATAAGAAATAAAGCAAGAAAGCTTTGTTTTTATCCTTCACCTTTTAATTGCGCCATGTCTTATATATACATATAATATTCTTTGAACTCACAATATGAAAAAAAAAAATATTTATTTATGTTTGTTTAATAAACAACTAAAAATAACCTATAAATTTTTAAGAACTAAGAACTAAATTCAGTTCCTTACTTTCTACTTTTTGCTTTGCGCTTTAGTATTGCTGGTGCACGCTGTACTTCCCACACTGGCTGTTGTTGCCGCCTTTGCCTCAGCGTCCACGTTAAACGCTTCGTTTAAGTCCGCGCCATCGGCGTCCATCGCGGCGGCTTCCTTCAAAGCCAATTTTTGGAAATCACAATCGATAATTCGCTTTCGTTTTCGCAGTGGTCGACTACATTCGGCTACAGCTGTGGTGGGCGTGGTAGGTGTTTCTTTGGTTTGAATGAGTGTGCGCTTCGTTTGCAGTCGTGTAATTTTGAACTTCGGTAATTTTTGCTTAGCATCGTCCATTTCGCTCCCAGCGGCGGGTATATCATCCATTTCCATGCCTAAATCGCGTTTGGGGGTTTCCGTGTCATCTGTGCGCACGATACAGTGCGTTGCCTTACCGGAGATTGTAGGTGAGCAGGGTGAGTCCTCGGGAGAGGGCGTAACAGCGGTGGTCGCAGTGATATTTGTCGTGGGTGTAACTAGGGATAATGAAGTCGTTGTAGTCGTAGTCGCCGTCAGGTGTTCCTCTGATAAGGCGCGCTTAAGACTGGACCCTGGTTTTTCGGGCTCATCTCCTTCGAGTTCCTTTGTCTTGGTGAAGTCTAAAGGTTCTTCGTTCACAGTTTCTTCTGTGACTTCAATTTTTGGTTCACAATCGCTATCGTCCGCTGTCACCGCAGCAGTCGATGGCTCATTTGCGGCTGCATTGGCTTGACTATTCTCTTTTTGCTTCAGTTTGGCGCGCTCCTCTGGCGATAGATACGCCTTGTAAAAGTCCACTACTGGTAGTGGCACTGGTATTGGTATGGGCAGCGGTATAATTATAGGATAGGGCACCATGACTGTTACCGGCGGCGGTGCACCCAGTAGGGCGCCGAGTCCCAAACCACCTACCAAATCAGGCGGTGGATGTGTAATATGTGGAGGCGGTGGAAATCCAGGAAACCAACCCGTTCCTGGGTATCGCGGCAGCATGCCAGGAGCAGTTGGCGCCCCTGGGCTTGACAGAAACGCAGGCGGGTGCGGTGGGAAAGCGCCAGGAGGTAGTTGCTGATGTGGTCCGCCGCTGTTCGGTGGCTGCGGGCCAGGTGGTGTTGCGAAGAAAGCCGGTCCGCTCGCATTCAGCGCGTGCGGAGGCAATGGATGCGGTGGCGTCTGTTGCTCCAACATAGGCGATAGGGGCGGCACACTCATGTGCAGATCTTGCACGCTGGAGCCCGCGAATTGGTTTAGTACGGACGCGCTCGGTTTTGCGCTGGACGCACTAGCACCAGCTGGCGGCAAATGTACACCAGGACTTGTGCGCAAGTTGTTGTTCGAGGTAGCACCAAGCAACGATTTTGCTTTGCCCAGCAAACCGGATGCGACAGAAGCAGTTGAAGAGCCAGCATCGCGCGCGATTGCATTGAGACTTCCCTTCACGCAGGCGGAAGACAAATCTGCGTGAGAGCCTGCGCCGCCACTTATGCTGGAACGCAAAGGACGCTTCTTGCGGTTGTGCTTCGGTGAGCCTCGATTCGATGTTGGCACCGGCATCGAAGTCAACATGCCTACATTCTTTGACATAAGCTTCGATACGGGCGCTACTGAGATCATGGGCTTGTGTGGCGTAGCAGACGAATGTCCCAAATTTGAGGCGGCCGAAGAGCCTGGTGACGACGACGAGCCAGTAGCCAAGTTGGTATTATTAGGCATAATTACTGTAGGACCCGGTGGACCTGGCGAGACGGAGAGTGTAGATGCCGGTGATGCGGAGCGACTGCGGCAGTTGCGAAGCCACAAGTCGGGCGTTATAAGGCCAGTGCCATTACCGGAAGCCACGGCTTCCAAACCCTGCTCGCGAAGATGAGGATTCATGTCCAGATGCGCCTGTGTCTCTTTGCAGAAAATCTGCATTTTATACTGGTTGAGGCATTTGTCAGAGCAAAATTGGAGCTGTGAGGCACCGTCCTGAAAGTCTACGTAGCTGATGGCATGGCGAACGTGTTTACACCAATCGCAGGTTTTGGCCTTCTTGAAGGACGCGCGACGAGACTGCGTGAAACAGGATTCGGAACAATAGCGTGTAGCGGAAGTGGTGAGAAACTCAGGGGAATTATCCGGCACAGGACGACGACACCAGCAGCAGTTTTGGAGATCTAAAAAAGTAAGAAAAAGAAAGGGGAAATGAGAGGAAAAGTAATAGTGATACATAATAGGTTAATTTTTCGAGTTTGTTTATAATTCTTAACAGCCTCTTAAACTGTTTGATCGAAAGCTTGGCGCTCACAAAATCGGCGCCAAGTTTAACCGCGCTAACAAACGTATTTACTTAAAAAAAAATGCATGCATACATAAAAAGTTTACCCTTTAATTACTTCAATGCTCAAGCGATGTGATGCCGATCTTAATTATCATTTTAGTGTGTTTTACAACAAAAATGAGAAGAGTATAAAACTATTGGCAACTTGAATACCTTACTCATTTTGTTTCGGCTTTTGAACGATGAGCAGAAAAATGAACTTAAAATAAAGCAAAAATCTGATAAAATCATTAAAAATGCAAAATTTGAAATTCTACACCACACAAAATGAAAACCATGAGCTTAACGCACAGTGGGGCTTCGAACACGGACAAGTGAAGTTGGTCTTTCACGAGCTTGACTTTGTAGCAAACGTAAAACGAGTGGTGGCAAGGGGAGGTGCCACCTACTTTTCGGTTAAGTTAAGCATATCAGACAGACTCATCCACCTTCGCTCAGCTGAAATTTATCTCTTCAGAATTATCCTTAAAAACACAAACACACACTCTCGTTTTTTATAACGTTTGTGAGTGTGAGTTTGTGTGATGATGAACTTAACAGACCAGCACTGAGGTAGTCAGATATGCAGTTAGCTGCAATGGTTGCTTTTTCGAATGCAATTTTAATAATTGCCGTTGAGTGTATTTGCAACATTGAAGGATGTATGAACATACAAGCATGTCGGTTAATGCGATTGAATATCAGGCATATGAGAACCTGGCAAAGCCAAAGCAAAATAAGACAAATAGTTTGGAGAACCAGCAAATGAGTCACAGTTGAGTATTTCCAAAAAGGAAAGCCAACATAGAGGGCCATACAAGTGTGATACACATCTTTGGCAGCAATTATTTGTGATATGTAAATTCTTTGCAGAAAATTGGTACTACAGGCTTAGGAAATAGCGATCCAACCAGTACTTATTGGAAAAAAAAGCCGGCAACGTTTTACAACGAATGGACGTTATCGTAGCGTGATAACACACTTTTTATGGCTTGAATTAGATAACATGGACTTGGACAACATGTGGTTTCAACAATACGGTACCACTTGCCACGTTGGCTTCACGCGCACCAACCGCATATCGGACGTCAACTGAATAAGTTGTGCTGGTGACAAGTGGCACAACACCCTATCCCAAGAAGGAAAAGCGTTGGGGGATATAATATTGGTTATATTACAAAATAGTTACCAGGACGCAGGCAACTTTGTGCATGACAAATATGGAACATCACCCTGAAGTAATTCGAAAACTCACCACAGTCTTTCGAGAGAGAAAAGTCTCTTGTAAGACAATTGCCAATTCTGGCAACTATCTTGAAAGCTTATTACTGTGTATGCGAAAGACTAATTGAAAGAACTGAAATTTTTCACACATTATAGCAAAGGGGTAACGTTCATTCTTGCATACTTAACTCGCTTTTTGCTATTTTTGCATTATGAAACTTTTCTAGTAAATGAGCGATGCACATATATATGTTAAATATATCGTTATCTTAATTCACAGAGGCCCTAAACAACATTTTTTTCAAAACTGCGTTTTTCACAAATTTTGGTAGGGTATAAAAACACGCCTTAAATACAAATTTTAAAGTGCTAGTACCAAAAACAGCGGAGTTACATGCTACTATTTAAAAAGCCCTACCTCTTTTTAATAGTCTTTTTATAATTGGGCAATTCACAAGGTGTTGTGAAGTTATATTTTCCTAACAAAAGTTGTGTTAAAACACGACGGTTGTGAACACCTGTTACGATTATTTATTATATCTCAGCACTTAACCTCACATAACACCGAATAAACATAGGTTGCAGAGTTGTATCGTCATGTGTTATTTTTCTTCACAAAACAATAACAACATTTTTACAACTGTCATGAAATATCATGACTTCACCACAAACACGACAAATACGACACCTTGTGAATTGCCCAAATATTTTGTGCTACTCCTGTAGAAGAAAATATTTATCAAAATTTTGTTTCAGTACTCGCAATTTCCTACTGGGTAGCTCATACGGAGCAGGGCCCTTACTTGCTGTATCCGTTAAAGCCCCGCCAGATAGAAATTCTTTTCTGCGTCACAGGGATGCTTTTGACTGACAAGACGCACATAACATTGCGAAGCGCCACAATGAAAACGTTGGCGCAAACAAAACGGCTCATTTTGATTGGTCAAAAGTCAGTTGCTCTGCATTCGTTCCATACATTGCTGTTTTGCCGCATTGACGCACGTAAAAAGTTGAGAGTTGGGCGATTTATATCAGTTGCGGCAATGCATACGTTGCCAATGTGGCGTCTTCTATTCAAAATCCCAGAGTTAACTTCGATGTCAGTCAAAAGTATCCCTGGGACGCAGAAAAGAATTTATATCTGGCGGGGCCTTTAGCGATTGTTCATCTGCTGCGATAGATCTCCTGTGATGAATTGCTTGTGGAGACCGCTCATCGTAATCGCAGGAGATATCGCTTGCGAGATATCGCAGGCGATGAACTGTCAAATAGTTAGTTTCACAGCTTGTTTTAATTTTTAATAAAGTAGTGTTTTTCTATAAATTATATATTCAAAACAACGTGGAGTAAGCTATTTTTGCGAATATAGTTATTATCGTCATTTGGAAGGTACTCGTAAGCACTTCTTGAAAAGAAATCTTCTGCGATGAAATGCCCAAGTACAAAAATTTTTCTGAGATGAGCATTTCGCCTGCGATGAAACTGCCAGATCTCCTCCTGCGATGGCTGTACGCTAATGGAGACTGTAGCTCGAATCAATAGTAAATTTGTTCGATTTCGAACGATTGGTGCTATAAAAGAGTTAGGCGTTCGAATAGAACTTATTTTCGATTCGAACTACAGAGTAACAGGCTAACCTAATATTCGTGGCTTGCGTTTTGGTACGCATGCCGTCGAATTTGTTTTTTTGCGTCACCCGAAATTGACTTGCATGCGTTTGCATTTGATTTCATTGAGCGAAACGTCAAATCAAAATGTCACGCAGAACAAAAATTGGAAATTGAGTTAGCTTCATACGCACGCCGTTCAATTTCGGTTGATCTCATACAAGTTGCATGTGCATGAGAAATTTTTGACAATAAATTGGCGGCGTGCGTGAATATTAGGTTAGCCCGTAAGGGCCCAGTTCTCTTGTTCTCATCAATACAGTTACAGTTTAGCTTTTGCCGACCACTGCCTAAGAGTTATTCTGTTTGTCTATTAGCAATTTTTTTTTATTAAAAAAAATATATATTGTTTTCTTTTTAAAAAAATAAAAATTAAAAAAAAAATATTAAAAGATACTATAAAACGGCTTCCAACCACTAAAGTTAATTTTAGAACTTTAGGTCCCGAAATATAAATAGCAACCCTCGTAGATGTTTATACCAGAATGCTCAGAATAAAAAGAGAAATCGATTAAGTACGTTTTTCCGTCCGTGCACACGATAACTTGAGTAAAAATTTATATATCTGGGGTTGGTATTGAAAATGGGAAAATTGGACAATGACCACGCCTGCTTATTTCCTATTAAAGGTAGTTTACAGAAAGGCGAGAAAACTAAGTGCGTGGTGTACGAGGTTCGGTAATTCACCCGAACTTTGAGTACTTTCCTTGATTTTAAACCGACTTCACAAAAAGGAGAAGCTTATCAATTCGTTGGAATATTTTTTTATGTATTACCGCATAACTTTGAACCACGTTAACCGATTTCTATAATTATTTTTTTTTTTAAGGAAAGGTGTTACCTTACAGGTGGTCTCATTCTAATTTATTTTAAATCCGATCATTGAATCATGAAGAAATTAACGATAATCTTAAATTTGTATATGAGAATTGAAGTCGGTTTGTTTGTTGCTTAAAAATTACTTATTTTAAATTTGTTTTCAGCTCATTACTCACCAATTTTCTCCTCCACAAGCGTATTTTTTCCTGCCGAAATCGGACTCTTGGAATCCTCCTCGCGCGAGCTGCGTGTATCATGATCCGAGGCTGTGCTTTCGCCGCCACCGCCACCACCACCACCCGCACCACTGCCAACACCAGTTAGTATGTTCGACTTTCCTCTGTTGCCGCTGCGATAATTTCCTGAAATGCAGTTGAGCGACATTTTGCTGTTGCTGCTGCCATTGTTGTTGCTGCTGCTGTTTTTGTTGATCGCATTATTACTAGTTCCATTTTTGTTGTTATTATTGTTGTTTTTGTTAAGAATATTACGTATGTGCTCGTTTTGTTGCTGTTGTTGTTGTTGCTGCTGCTGCTGCTGCTGCTGCTGCAGCTGTAGCAGCGTGGCTGCGCGACTGCGACTTCGTCGCTTTTCCATGCAATGCCTTTGATGGCTTATTGCACCAGAGTGGTTATTGTTGTTTGTATTATTTCCGCTACTGCTACTGTTGTTGTTGGCTGCACTCAATGCCGCATTGTTTGCTTGTGCAACGGCTGCAGATTGTAGCAGGCGGCTTGTTTTCGTAGATAAATCCAGCCGATCCACACCATCGAATCCATACCAGCCGAGCAATTCGTTCATTGTATTCTCGGCGAATTCCTGCAAAGGCAAAAGGAAATGATAAATTTACATATGTACATACATATATTTGAATTGATTTAAAAATGAGGAGACTTTCATAAATGGACTGCGGATGTTTATGCAGAAAATGAAGCCTAAAAATATATACCCTATAACCCAGGGAAAGCTCAAGTTGCGGCGGTTAGAGGCCACTGAAAATGAAAACATTGTTATAAATTGTATCGTTTTTGAGTTTATTTGTAGCCTCCATAATAGATGAAACCTCGGCCTGGAAGACATAGAAGACCGGTATGCGAATAGGGTTTCGCGAAAAACTGCTTCTATTACTTTGACATCTGTTAAACATTCAATACTTCTAGATTGGAGTGCAATAGCTTTTCACCCACTCCTCCCTGCGTCGGGAGATCTCCATGAAGAAATTTTTATCTGGAAACAAAAATTGAACACACTTAATCGTGCTTCCCGGAAGAAAACCAAATTTTAGGATCCCGCTGAGGTATCCCTCTTCAACGAATACCAGCAAGAAATACCACCTGCTGTTCCCTTAGAACCAGTCGAAGAAGGTTCAAAATACACGAGATTGTATTAGACTGTTGATCCTTGCTAAGTAGTTTAAGATTCGTTCCCTTATTGAGAGTAGGCTACTATACAGTAATACCATAAAGGAGAACCAGTCTAATAACCGCCGTGTAAATCCTTTGGCAAGAGCTTAGGTTCAAACGCCACTTCGGCCACCTGTGGCTCTATTGCACAAGTACAGAGCTGCGGAAGCCTTCCAATGACGTTGAGCTATGTTCTCCCTTCAGCCCAACTTCGTATCCAGAGTAACGTCTGAGAATTAAGCTTTGTTAACGATCACAAGCTCCCCTTTGTCCGAATAAAGGCAGAGACTGTATGGATACGCCACGAAGTGCGGCTCTGGATCAAGTAGCACAGTGCATGTGGAAACTCATCTCTGATGGCAACATCATCAGCATAGATCACAATTTTTTTGCTCCCCCATTCAGTCTGCAGCAAGAGTGAGTTCGTCAGTTAAATTCCTACAAAGTGGTGAGAGCACGCCGCTTAGGACGCAGTCAGTTGTGCGAGTATAGTCCGATCTTGCCCTGCTGCTTTGCAGTATTGGAAGCTTTGAACTGCTAAAATAATCAGCAAAGCTTAAGTTTGCTGCAAAAGCGTTTATTTTATAATTTCCTAGAGAAAAATGTTGGGATTCTCTTTTATGGAGCTTGAGGCACCCTAATATAAGTCCATACATACTAGAGGTATACGCCGCCGAGCCACGCCGCCGCCGCCGCCGTTTTTTGTCATTACTCACGCGCCGCCGCCGAGTTACGAAAATATCGGCGCGGCGGCGGCGGCGGCGGCGTTCGGCGCCTAAGGAATTTTGTACAAAGTTTTCATGAAACGCATCGCTTGAAGGAACTACTACTACAGAATATATAACAATTTTTTTCAATACCACAACAATATTCCTTTTTTACAGATTACTACAACAACAAGAAAGTTGTCACACACCAAAAGACTTTAACGATAATATCTCAGAAAGCAGTTTTAACAGAAGTGCCCTTATTGCATCTAACTCCTCGATTATTGGAGATAAAACAAAAACAAATTGATCTTCTTGTGTATTTTTTCTTTAATAAAGAGTTGAATATTTTTTAAACAGATTTTAAATAAGTAAGTTATTTTATTCCGGGGTCCCACAGACGTATACAAGTTCTATGTGGCAGTGTGAAAACTATGTTAGCATTCACAAGTGGTGGGCAAACCCCAGAAAGGTTTTGCTCCATCGCATCGCAATGTTTTCTACACAGGGTTAAAGTTCCCCCTTCTTGATGGAAATTAGTAGTATTTTTCATTACTTTTGTTTACCCTCGGAAAATTTGGCACTTAAAATTTTAGTGGAAATTTTAACCAGGCCTGTTCTGCTGGGAGTTGATGGATAAAACCCCCGGAAAGTAGTAGACCACCCTAGTTTTCAATCTATAACCCGCAAAAAATCGTAAGAACCCCTTAATTTAACATAACGGTAGATAACGTTATTTCAGAAATTTATTAATAGCGAAATAAATTACTCCAATAACTTAGCTTTAAATTTTTTTTTTATTTCTTTAAATTTAAATAGTACATACGGATCTATAGAGAACATAGAGAACCATGTATGTATGTAGTATATTTCTTTATTTATTTTTTAATTTCAGTCTACAGAACTAGTTTCTTACAGACTAGTGAAGACTCTAGGTGAATATTGTAAACAAATTATTCTTAAATCTATCAATACTTAAGTTAAAATCGATAACACTAGAATATGTATTGCACAATTCAATGATCTAGCAATTGGTTCATTTTTGGCATAATTCGTGGTATGCAGAGCATCAACCAATAGCCTTTTGTTTCTTAAATTACGCGGGGGATTATATAATATGAGCAAATCTGTTAAATAAGCGCAATTTGTGTGCCCATTGATTATTTTATAAATAAATGTAATGAAGAAGTAATCTCTTCTTTCCTTCAAAGACTGGAGACCCAGCAATTTCTGTCTGCCAATATAGGGAGGAACATAACCTTGCCAGGGCAACTTGCAAATAGCGAATATGGTGAAAATCTTGTGAACTCTTTCTATTTTGATCGAGTCCACTTCATAATATGGACTCCATATTATAGAACAGTATTCCAGACGGCTTCTTACTAAAGGATTTTAAAGTTACTGGATCTCTGAACTCTTGAGTATTTCGCCTAATAAAGCCTATCATTGAGAACGATTTAGATACAATATAGTCAACGTGTTTTGTAAACGCGAGTTTGGAGTCAAAAATAATGCCCAAATCTTTTATTTCAGTGCTCCGCTTTATAACGCAACCATCTAATTTATAGTCAAAAGGTATATCACTACTAGACTGCCTCGAGAACGTAACTACGCAACATCTACCTATATTTAGGTTCAAACAGTTTAATGTACACCACTGCTGAAATTCATCTAGATCGAGCTAAAGACGATTACAATCTGAGAGATCACGCACAACTGAAAAAAGTTTAACATCATCTGCAAACATCAGGCAGTTTGCAAAATTAAAATAGTTAGGCAAGTCGTTTATAGAATAAACAACAGTTTGGAATAAACAACAGTGGTCCACAATGCGTGACCTGTGGTATGCCCGACCATGCATTAACTGTCACTTGAGATGTTGTTGCCTCAATTTGCACAAGTAACTTTCTTTGCGTTAGACCCTCTTCGGTTCGCCTATCTATCAGCGCCAGGCACTCAAAATTTTAATTCAAGTAGGAAGTAACAATATTTAAATTTAAAACTAATTTAATAAGGAATGCCTAACGCTGACGAGATGACATGATAAGATTAGTAGCCTCATGGCTCTTATGGGCAGTAGCGCCGGCCTTTACAGACGCGCCGGCGTCGCCGCCGCCGCCGATTATTTTTGAAGTTGACCACGCCGCCGCCGCAAAGCCTGTCGGCGTAAACCTCTAATACATACCTATAAACAGCCGGGTATATATAAGAAGTTTAATTCGATTCCTATTCAAGATATGTTTGCATGTGTATGGATACATTACATATTTGTGACCGCAAAGACCCACAAAATCATGCCGAATACGACACTTTCCTGCGAGAAGGATCAAATTAAAGCTGCGCAAGTCTGTATGCCTGCATGCATATTAAGTATACTTATGTATGTACGTATGTATGCAATAAATGTGAATGTATTAAATGACAGTTTTCAACATTTCATTGTCAAGTGACACCATCAGCAGCGTTGTGCCATTTGAACATTCTCATTACCCAATAACAAACAAAAATGCTTCCCCTCAGCTCCTCTTTTAAGCGCTTCTTTCAGATACATATTTTCCCTTTTCTTATTCTTATCGCGCTGACTGGTGTTCGGTATTGATTTCCTTGATGTATGCAATTTTACATCTGCTTTCTTGCAGCACGTCAGAGAGTGCATAGTTATGTGGCTTGCGACCGGTGGCACCAACGACACCAATGTTCAAGACAAGAGCTGCTTGAACCACTACTGATTGCGAAGGTGCTTGGTACTAAAAGCGCCCGTCAGACATATATCTATGTAATATACATACATATGTACATATTTTTTCTTAGATCGCTAATATTTTAATTGCATTTATTTGGTTTTGTTTTTTTACTTCTTGCTTTGCTAGCATTTTATAGCAGCTGCATGCCACTTTGTTACTGTTGCAATCAGCTAAGCATATGCAACCGTTGCCTTCAATCATGCGCTTCACCGCCGCCAAGTATCAAATTTGATATCGCACTTCTCCACTGGACATTGGTGTTTAGTAACAACTAAAAAATGCGCCTGGCACAAAGCGCACATACATATGTACATATGTATGTATAGCAGATCATTGTGCGCAAGTGAGTGTGAAAACATTCCAATTTCAGTCACTAATTCGATCGATTGGCTTATGAGGTGACATGTGTCAGTCAGGCGTCCAAGCAGCAGCTACTACATACATTCATACATACATATGTATATTTATATGTTTATTTAGCAAGAGCTAAATCAACTTCATGTCTGGCAAGATCCATTTGTTCTTTGTGGCCAGTAAACAGACTCTGCTTTACAGATTTTTATGACACATCTTTCTTTTTCACGTCATTGTTGCATTTAAATATTATAGTATAAAATGTTTTCAACCGTATTTTTGCAATGCTAAAATTCATGGCCGTTCGTTGCTCACGCTGATTTCGTTATTCGCGCCTTTTTTGGAGACATATGTACATATGTATATATGTTTTCTTCTTTGCAATGTATCAAATTGCATTTTCGGTTGCTTTTTCATGTGTGGGGTGCCAAAATACGTAAGCAAAAATTCGTAGAGATGAGATAAAAACAGGTTTAATTTGAAAAAAAAAA